CCGAGTTCATTCGGAAGCCACGAGGTCGATGCCCCTTCTAACAACCAGAGCAAACATTTTTGTAGGTACATGGAACGTCCGAACAATGTGGGAGACCGAGAAGACCAGTCAAATAGCAACGGAAATGAGGAGATACAACTTAGCAGTATTGGGAATCAGCGAAACCCAAGCTGGACAGAAAAGGCTAGCTACAGGAGAGATGCTGTTATACTCCGGTCACGAAGAGGAAAATGCTCCGCACACTCACGGAGTCACTCTTATGCTGTCCAAAGTAGCACGAAATGCACTTGTAGAATGGGAATCTCACGGATCCAGAATCATCAAAGCATCATTCAAAACAAAGAAGGAGGGGATCACAATGAATATTATCCAATGTTATGCACCCACCAATGATAGCAACGACGACATTAAAGATCAATTCTTCGAGCGGCTGCAGTCAATCATTGAGAAATGCCCAAGAAATGACCTCACCATTCTGATGGGAGATCTAAATGCCAAAGTTGGAATAGACAACACCGGATATGAAAATTTTATGGAACGACATGGACTGGGACAGAGAAACGAAAATGGAGAAAGATTCGCAAATCTATGTGCATTCAACAAATTGGTCATAGGAGGCACAATATTTCCACACAAGCGTATACACAAGGCTACATGGATCTCACGGGACCACACTACAGAGAACCAAATAGATCATATTTGCATCAACAAAAAATTCCGAAGGACAATGGAAGATGTGAGACCCAGGAGAGGTGCTGACGTAGCTTCAGATCACCACCTAGTTGTAGCCAATTTAAAACTGAAGCTAAAAAAGAACTGGACAAGTGGACAAACAGCAATACAAAGGTTCAATACAGCCTTCCTTCGAGATACTGACAAACTCAATGAATTCAAGATAGCTCTCAACAACAGGTTCCAAGCCTTACAAGACCTACTGAAAGAAGAAGAAACTACTGTGGAGGACAACTGGAAAGGCATCAAGGAAGCATTAACTTCAACGTGTCAAGAGGTTCTCGGTCTAAAGAAATACCATCATAAGGAATGGATCTCTACAGAAACACTGGACAAGATCAAAGAAAGGAAGAACAAGAAGGCAGCAATAAACAACAGCCGAACACGAGCAGAGAAAGTCCAAGCACAAGCTGAATACATAGAAGCAAACAAACAAGTGAAGAGGAGCATTAGAACCGACAAGAAGAAGTACGTGGAAGAACTAGCAACGACGGCAGAAAAAGCTGCTAGAGAAGGAAATATGAAACGACCTTACGATACAACGAAGAAACTATCAGGGAAATACAGTAAACCAGAGAGACCAATCAAAGACAAAGAAGGCAAGCCAATCACCGAAATTCAACAACAGCGGAACAGATGGGTAGAATACTTCGAGGAACTCCTGAATAGGCCGGCTCCAATGAACCCAGTGGACATCGAAGCAGCACACACAGATCTTCCTATAGATGTCAACCCACCAACGAAGGAAGAAATCAGAATGGCCGTCAGAAAGATTAAGAACGGGAAAGCAGCAGGAACCGAAAACATACCAGCTGAAGCACTGAAGTCAGACATCGAAGTAACTACAAACATGCTTTACCTTCTATTCAAAAAGATTTGGGAGGAAGAACAAGTGCCGAAGGACTGGAAAGAAGGACACCTGGTCAAGATTCCAAAGAAAGGAGATCTGAGCAAATGTGAAAACTACAGAGGCATTACACTACTGTCAGTATCAGGGAAAGTCTTTAACAGAGTGTTACTGAACCGGATGAAAGAAGCAGTAGACGCCCAACTTCGAGATCAGCAAGCTAGATTCCGTAGGGTTCAGTCGTGCACAGACCAAATTGCAACACCACGGATCATCGTCGAACAATCAGTTGAGTGGAACTCATCACTGTACATCAACTTCATTGATTATGAAGAGGCATTTGACAGTGTAGATAGGAGGACGTTATGGAAACTTCTTCGACACTACGGAATTCCTGAGAAGATTGTCAATATAATCCGGAACTCATATGACGGACTACAGTGCGAAGTAGTGCATGGAGGACAGCTGACAGATGCATTCCAAGTAAGGACCGGAGTCAGACAAGGCTGTCTACTCTCTCCCTTCCTCTTTCTTCTGGTGGTCGACTGGATTATGAGGACCTCGACATCTGAAGGAAAACACGGAATACAATGGACAGCTCAAAACCAATTAGACGATTTGAACTTCGCAGATGACCTAGCCCTCCTATCGCATACACACGAACAGATGCAGACAAAGACAGCCAGTGTAGCACCAGTCTCTGCATCAGTAGGCCTCAGCATATACAAAGGGAAAACCAAGGTCCTCAAATTCAAAGCGGAAAACAGCAATCCAATCACTCTTGATGGAGAAACTCTGGAAGATGTCGAATCCTTCACATACCTGGGAAGCATCGTCGATGAACAAGGAGGTTCAGATACAGACGTAAAGACGAGGATCGGCAAAGCAAGGGTCGCATTCCTACAATTAAAGAACATATGGAACTCGAAGCAACTTTCAACCAATATCAAAGTGAGAATCTTCAATACGGACGTCAAGACAGTTCTAGTGTATGGAGCTGAAACTTGGAGAACTACAACAACCACAATCAGGAAAGTACAAGTATTTATAAATAGCTGTCTTCTCAAGATACTCAATATCCATTGGCCGGATACCATCAGCAATAGCCTTCTGTGGGAGAGAACAAACCAACTTCCAGCTGAAGAAGAAATTAGGAAAAGACGATGGAAATGGATTGGACAAACATTACGCAGATCGTCGAACTGCATCACGAGGCAAGCCCTAACTTGGAATCCTGAAGGGAAGCGTAAAAGAGGAAGGCCAAAGAACACATTACGTCGGATAATAGAAACAGATATGAAAAGGGTGAATAAAAACTGGAAGGAGCTGGAAAGGATTGCCCAGGACACGGTTGGATGGAGAATGCTGGTGAGAGGCCTATGATCCTTCACGAGGAGTAACAGACGTAAGTAAGTATTTGCATCTGCAAGATGCAAAACTCGTTTCACTGACCAAAATACCTACCTACGTAAATATATTTATTATTGAGGGTTGAGGGAGTTTGAGGGCAGTCTTAATCGACGTCTAAATGGTTGTTTCATGTTTTATATGTTGACCTTTGATTGGTGATCTGTTATATGACTGATAACTTCTTGCCGTACTGTATTAGTAGAATATTTTTTGAATTATGTCTTTAGTTCCCAAATCCATTTTTTGGATAACAATTTCATCTTGTTATATTCCGATGAGAATAATGAATTGTAACTTTTGGGATTCATTTATGGATCAATACTAAATATATATTTTCACCGTATAATTGTTGAGTAACTAAACTATTCGTATTCGTATCCCTATTGTTATGAGCTTTATTTTGACTTATGGACTATTGTTATACGATTTACCATTCATGAGTTATGCCAAGTTTATTAATTACAGTTTCCACATTCACAGCCACTTTTGGCTAAATCTTATCGTTTCCTATTTTATAGTACGATGTGGTCTGTTTAGTTGGTATATAAAACCAGTATGCTTGAAATACATGATTCATATCGCAGAGGTTGAGATTTGTGTTCTGGACTCTAACAGGCAGGGCTAGGCAAGAATCAAGACCGGTAAAGACTCTAGACTGCTCGTATAGGTTTTATGCGTCATTGGTCCGATCGATAATTCACTGTTCTCTAATTGGCGGGATCATTACGTTATACATTAATAGGAAACAGTGCACAAGTTATAACACATTTAACTATCATCTCTGTAGTTTGAAGGCTAAGAGTTTATCGTGAACCTAAATAGTCATGTATTCGACTCAACGTGAGTTCATAGCTGCACACTTCAGGGGAGTCTTATATCAGACTGAAAAACATCATCAATACTTCCTACTATTCAATAATTCTTTCATTAAGGTCAAACAGTAAACATTATTCTAATCTAAATAAATAGATTTAATTCTCTTTAATAATTATAACAGCAGCAATTTGGGAGACTCTCCCGGTCTCCCACATTTGTACGAACATTCCATGTACCTAAATAAATGGTTGCTCTGATTTTCAGAAGGAGCATCGACGTCGTGACTTCCGAAGGAAATCGACCTTCATCATGAGGCGTCATAACTCTTATAAATGAAGACCTTCTGACTCCCAGGGCAGAGTTTAAATGGTTTGAATAAATTTTTTTCTGGTAAGCGTTTTCTTAGCGAGTTAGTTTTCTACGGGATAGGGTCGCTAATCCCACGCCCAACCCTCCTCCTTTATCCGGGCTTGGGACCAGCAGTAGACCTGGGGGAACTCCAGGCGGGTTTAATCATTATAAGCATAATAATAATAATAATCGAATCAACTAGTGACTATTATGAAATTACTAATATTTCTTCCGTTTCATAAATTATTTACATTCTTTCTTGAGTTTATTCTTTTGTTTTAAAAATTATATAAGAAACATTATTATTATTATTATTATTATTATTATTATTATTATTATTATTATTATTATTATTATTGACCCATAGTTTGGAATGTCTGACCTAATTAACTCATTTATTATTCAACAAATCGCCTTATCTTTCATATAAGTCAGCACCAAAACCAAATTCACATCTACTAACATACATACATACATACACAAAACTATGCACCAATACTAACACAAAGTAAAATAATTAAAGAAAACTCTATTTTATTATTTAGTCTTGAGCACATTGAATTATGTTACTAAGCCTATAAATTAAATATGCAAATCTGTAGATAGATAGATAGACAGACAGACAAAGAGATAGATATATAGATAGATAAACAGACGACAGATGGATAGACAAACATACAGATAGTAATGTGTAATGCTGTATTTGAATGTTATAAAATCACTGGTTGATTAATCAATAAATTACATCATTTGTTTTTTTTTTCTTACGAAATACACACAATGTGACAAAATGTTTAATTTGTTTGATCGTATACATATGTATGTATCTATCTATCTATCTATATAGATAGATAGATAGATAGATAGGTAGATAGGTAGGTAGGTAGATGTGAATGTGAAAACAATGATTAGACTGAATTAATAGTGTCTTTTATTCATTTTCATCACTCTTCTTCTTTTTTTATTCTTATTCTTATTGAATGTTAACGTATACAATTTGGTGTTTCTAATTATTTAATTAATTAATTAATTAATAAATTAATCAATTGATCAATATTATGGAATATCTTGAACAATTTACAGTGATTGATAAAAATCGAGATGGAATCATTTCAAGAAGGGATTTATTTAAATATGCATTAAGTATTGGTGAAGATTTGTCGATGGTTGATGTAAGTAACAAAGATATTGATTTTTTATAGAAGTATCTTTTATTGTAATATTTAAGAAGAAATTCTGATGTGACTATAATTTATGGACGATGTTTAAGCAACGCTAAAGTTATCTTAAGTATGTTCAGCTAATAACTAAGAGCAAATAAAGGTTATAAACCTGTGTGAAGACTTTGAATTGTAATTTATAGTTGATGGTTAAGATTAAGAATTATATTTGGGGGTTTTGATTACGAACTGACATCAGCTATAATGCCAAAGCTCTATTTTTACAAATGAATAAATGAATTTTGCGCCAAAATCCAAGACTTATTATCTTATACCTGATTGGTTCGTTCATAAATTATAGTCTCGCTGTAATTCTTTGAAATTTTTTAATGATTTTTGTAATGATTAATTAATATATTTAGTTTGTTTAATAACTATATAAAGTAATGGCGAGATCGTGGATGTGCACTGTTGAGAAGTCTTACAGTAGGATGAAATGGCCATCCAGTGTTTACAGGTTTTCCATGATAATCTAGCTTTAATTGACTCATGATCTCAACTATTAAAAAACTAAAGTAGAATCTTTGAAGAAGAAAAAAAGAATTTTATAAAATTTATGATCTATTAACTTTATCGGATAACCTTAGAGTGATGTTCCAAAGGTCTGGAGAAAATTTACCTACCTAAAGTCATACAAGAGTGTTATAAATTAATGTGAAGAGTTAAGAAATAGGTTATAGAATTGAATTTTAAGGTTAGAAAGTAAAGTAAATATTTTCATTACAATCTAATAACAGCTACAATGTTGAAATAGTATCTAACCATTAAGATGAATCAATGTTGTGCTGAACTCCAAGAATAGTTATTATTAAGTCCATAAATTATAGTCTCATCACTTTATTCACATTGAAACTATCACGGTAACAACTATTCCAGTTAGAGAAGTTGTTTTCTTTGAAGAATCATTTTTTTAAAATAAATACCACTCAAAATTCTATAAGAGCATGACTTTGATATGTCACGCGGATTATATTAACCTTAATCAATAAGATTGTCTCTTGAATTTTTAAAGTATGATATAAGTTATTCCGTAATGTAAAAATCGTTAACATTTAACTACCTTTAAATCGGTTTATAACTGGTCAATCTAAATAAATGGGATAGATTTTTAACACTAGTCGATTACCGAATAGAAGATAAAATTGTGTTCTGTAATGTTAATTATTGAATTTTATTAACTTGTAATATGACAATTAGAGTAAGAATATTAACAGTGCATGCATTTTGTTAGGAGATGAGTCTGGACCTAGATTTCGTTCTAGTTGGCACCGGTCACTAAAGCGTATCTGTGCATTTGAGGCAACATGTGCCCCCCCTGTGGGATCCGAACTCAAGTTACTCAGCAGTAGTTCTCTCAAGATTACAAGCGTACCTTACTAACGAGTGTTGAATAACACGTAACTTATGTTCAGAATTTCGTCCTGACCACATAGTATCAAAACATAATGAGTTATGTCTAATGTTTTATAATCGAAGTTAAATATTCTGGGTTTCATGCTAGTTGTTATCTTCCATTGATGTATTACCTGATCTCACAAATTTGTTCAGAAAATTTTCTATTATATCATTGAATATTATCAATGTGATTTAAAAAAAGTGGTAAAATCATGGTATACCAACGGGCTTGAGTTAGCCAATCAGAATTAAGGTGGCACATGTGTTTTGCATAGAATTTAAAGTCCAATGCTACATAATAACTTGTATGTTAATATTGACTAGGTGAAAACAAGCAATAATTAATTCTTAAAATGCTTTGATTCAATGAATTCAAGATACTGCTTCAGCTGAATTGCAAAACATACCTGCTTTTAAAACATAATGTGTTTTAAAATGCTTAATGTGATTAAATGCATAATCAAGAGTGTTGAGTAAAGGTAGATCACATTCTCCTTTTCTAACGTTTCGTCTAAACCACAACCTTAAGTTTCTCAAATTTGTAAACAGAAGGATCATGAATAACATGAAAACCAGTCACGATAAAATCCTGGGCGGTCAAACCAAAACGTGGCATCAGTCCTTGAAGTCACTAACTTCTAGTCTTAGCCATGTTAGTAGATGCAGGCTGTCTGGTTGGGGTCCGCGTGACTATCGTAACCAATGGTTGGAAACTCTTGGTGATATGACTCAGAATCGATCACAATGGCGTAGGTGTATACACTCTCTGTTTTACCTTAAACTATGAAATTAAAATCGCTCCACATCTTTCTTTTTACCAACTAATTCTTTCTTCCTGTACTATATCCTTATACACAATCTTCTTTTATATATTACCACCTATGAATTAACTACTTTTATGAATCCGGTGTCCATCTTGTTGTGTTAATGAGGTATGGTAACTTAGACCGATGCATATATATGCCTGGCCCTGCGTTGTAACTGACTGTCAGACGATAGAATCCGGGAAATCTAAACTATAAAACTAAGTATTCTCAACTGAAAAAATTTGAAGATTTTTGTTTGACAGGACTCAAAAAAATACTCAAATAACTTAATAGTTGGATTCATGAGTCACTTGAAGCTAGACCACCCTGGAAAACCTGGAAGCAGTGAACAGCCGTTTCGTCCTAGTATGGGACTCCTCAGTAGTGAGCCGGCTCAACTGACTTATGAATTCAACTGTAAAATTACTATAATATCCACAAAACCCCTCTCTGACTTAAGTAACTTTTAAAAAAATCCAAAACACCTAACATAACTATCATTCAACTAAAAGGTTATGAAAGAGGATAAATATTATGATGCACTAAGAGACTATACATGTTATAAGCAAAGGTTGGGCTTAAATCTGTGATTTGCTTAAGCCTCTATAATTCATGAAGTTCAAGAGAACAAAACACTTTTTTAGAATCTTCACTATAATGTATCCTAAGAGTTACCTATACTAACACGAGTAGTTATCCTTATTAACATTGAAGTTAGAGAAAGTATTTCAAATGAAACTCTAAAATCAGATATTTAAGATTTTTGGTAAAATATTAAATATTTTTTAAAATTTCGTATTATCTTCTCTAACTTGGCTATGCTTTGTAGAAAGGGTAAAGATAAACATATATCTTAGATGGCATTAATATTCATTTATCACAATTGATTGATCACTGGGTGGTGATCAATGTCATGCTTGTCTAGTCCTTATTAGTGCAGATCGAATGCTATCGATCATGTTGCAATGTGGCCAACAGTCTAGGTGACTCGACACTGCGGGCACTATGTATTGAGATTTCGATGGTGGTTGGAGGTAGTCCTACAGGAGGTTAGTCACGGCTCGGATAGCTCAGTGGTGACGTCTCTGACTGTGAAGCTGGGTGACACGAGATCGAATCCGCCAGGGAGCATCAGTTCCCTCAAGATTACAGGTACACCTTGCTGACGAATGCCAAGTAGCACGAAACCCGGGTCTAGGGTTTCCTGTTGACTACCTCCAACCACCATCTAAATCTCAATATTCATTTATACATTTACTTGGTTCTAGGGAATTGATAACATCGGTTATGAAAAGCAAGCTCTTCCATAACATAACCTTAACTACTATCCTATCTGACTGTCAGATAGAGTAAACAAATCAATATAATTGGTCAATTCTGATTAAATTGTTTTTTCCAGAATGATATTTCAAAAATATACACAGTAAAAATAAGAAACAATACGAATACACAATTTAACTATTAAAGCTTGAAATATGTATACAGAAGTAGTATCTTTTTGGTGGAGTTTTATTCTCTGAACTGGATGATTTGATTGTAGAGCTTTCATTATTCTTCTGAAGGAAATCATCAGTACAAATTTCAAGTAGAACTGAAGTGTGCTTATGATATCGTTCAAAATAACGATGAAAGCTTCATAACCAAACTATCCAACTCAAAGAACAAAACTCCACCTGAGCTACAAATCTTCTCTACCATCTCGAAGTAGTATGTTCTATCATTCATCATGCTATGATTATAAGCTCCTATGTAAATCTTTACAATTATTAATTACTTGTTATTATCACTAAGTTTTGCTTTTCTATTTCCTTTACTGTTTCTGATATTCATCAAATAGACAATCTTTTTTTATATTTTGATTTATAAACTATTTTCTCAGTTTATTATTCTTCTTTAACTCATAATTTAATACACAAACTTGTATGAGGATAACCATCATTTTTAAAAAAATGTTTACTAAAGACTACGATATCTAATATTTCTCGTTCATTTAGTTGATAAATTCTGCACAGATGAGTATAATTTTCATTAGAAACTTCATTTTAATCATTGAATAGTATCTATATATGTTTAGTGTGAGTCACTCAGTCAGTCAGTCATTTACAACGCAGGATCAGGCATATATATTGCATCGGTCTAAGTTGCCATACTTCATTAGCACATCAAGGTGAACACCGGATTCATAGAAGTAGTTAATTCAGTGGTGATAATATATGAAAGAAAGATTGTGTATGAGGATATAGTACAGGAAGAAAGAATTAGTTCACAGAACACACTATTGTAGTGCAGTTCCAATTGTCGGATCGAAAAACAAAAAAAAAGAAGAGAGAACAAAACTAAAATGACATTTAGAGATTGAAATAAAATCACCAGTGAAAATTATACTTTTAAACTGCATTATTCATTCACTAAATGAACGTAAAAATGTTAGATATTGTACATCTATTAAACATTGAGAAGTAAATTGACAGTTATCTAACCTGTCTCCAAAACTTCTATGTGATACTTTAAAATTTTGAGGATTTTATAATATAGTCCCTTTCTATGTTTTAGTGGATTAATAAATTTGTTAAGTAACTATCCATACAACTGGAAAGGTTCAGTAAAAGAGTTTGCGAAAAAAAGTCGTTGTTATTGGATCGTCTTTGCTTTTTGTTTATCACCTGGTACATTGACCACACAGGAATCTGATCATTGATTAATTCACTTTATAATAACAGAACAAGTGACCTTCCATTTTTCACAAGTCTA